CTTTCCATAACCCCGCCCCATTCTCCCTCCTTTCATCACCCGCCCCATTCTCCCTCCTTCCATCACCCCGCCCCATTCTCCCTCCTTCCATCGCCCCGCCCCATTCTCCCACTTTCCATCGGCCCGCCCCATTCTCCCGCTTTCCATCACCCCGCCTCATTCTCCCGCTTTCCATCACCCCGCCCCATTCTCCCGCTTTCCATCACCCTGCCCCATTCTCCCGCTTTCCATCAGCCCACCCCATTCTCCCGCTTTCCATCACCCCGCCCCATTCTCCCGCTTTCCATCACCCTGCCCCATTCTCCCTCCTTCCATCACCGCGCCTCATTCTACCTCCTTCCATCACCCCTGTTATAGTCGAAGTAGGCTCCAATGTGCCTAAAACGAAAGATAGAGTGCACAGTCGGATTTCTGCACAGCGGCGTCAAACGTTCATAGCGTTTTGGTCACAGCTTCAAATGACTTGATTCAACTTGGATCTGGAGCATCTTATTGTCGCCTATAATAGGCAATTTAGATCGCACGATTTGACCAAGTATTGACGACACAGGGTCGGTTTGAACGAACGGCACTATGGCAGCCACTATAGTCTTAGAACACAAGATAGGAAAAGTTAGGAAGAATTACGAGTTGGGAATAACTCCCAGCTCCTACAAACCCCAAGAGCCGAGGTACAGTGATGTGGAACAGTGCCACACTGTCCCCAACCATGAAGGGTCTCGAAACTACCCTTCACTAGGGCCTACACCAAGTGAAATGTTACACTACACAAAGTAATGTAACTATCTTCAATATCTTGAGGTGTACCCTTTTGGCGAGCTTTGAAATCACTTGTGGATTGACACCAAGGCTCGGCTCTTCATCACAAACTCATCCTTGAGTTCTTGATGGGTCTGCTGCACACACCTGCGACACATCGAACGTTCGACACAGGACAAAAGAGAAACCGCGCACGACAAAATAGAAACCGCGCGCGAGACACAAACGACCGCGTAACACGCGTCTAGCCATAACTCGCTATTGACTCGACACATACACTCGACATCATGACTCAACATTCACACACAATTATAAGCATTAAATATATATTATCCCATGCCCTCATGCCATTTCATAGACACACACACATGCACGCACACGGACAACAAGCCGAGTGCAAACCATAGGGTTGCACCAACAAACTCCCCCTCGGATTGTTGGCCTTAGGATATGTTGCTCTGTCAGTTCAGAGCCATCCCAGCCAGCTTGCAACACTTCCAATGCTGCTGCTCCACCAGCCTCTTGGTCATCATGTCAGCCGGCTGCCCCGTGGTCTTCACGTAGCGCAACTCAACTTCACCCGCGGTTACCATGCTCCTCCTCCAATGCCACTTCACCCTCATGTGCTTCGTGAGTCCATGCAACACAGGGTTCTTAGAAAGAGCAATGGCACCCTGGCTGTCACAATATAGTGGGGTAGGTCCTTGCTGCTCCTCCCCCAATTCAGCCAACAAACGCCGCTGCCACACAATCTCCCGTACGGCACGGAAGAGTGCCATGTACTCGGACTCCACCGAGCTCAAAGCTTGGTCAACCTGCTTCTTGCTCTCCCAAGCAGTTGGGCCTCCACCAACACAGCATATGAAGCCTCCCACACTCTGCCACTACCATCATCAAACCCCTCTGGCTGCGCCATAAAAATCTCCTCCTCAAGGATGCCGTTGAGGAATGCCGTCATAATGTCCATTTGCTTCACCACCCATCCTTTGATGGCGGCTCCCGCGAATAGGGTTCGCAGCGTCCTCGGCTTCACCACAGGGGCAAACAGCTCCTTGAAGTCCACCTTCTCCTTCTGCTGGTACCCCTTGGCTACAAGCCTAGACTTGTAACGCTCGATCTTGCCGTCGGCATCCGACTTGATTTTGAAGAGCCACTTGGACGTTATCGCCGTACGCCCCTCCGGTAGCTCCACCAATTCAAACGTGTCACTCTCCTCGATGCACTTCAGCTCACTCTCCATGGCCTTCTTCCACTCCTCAGCATCACTACTCTCCAAAGCCTCCTTGAGAGTTGCTGGTTCTCCCGGCATCTCCACCGGAGAGAAGAACGCGAAGGCACACTCCTCGTAGTCACTCTCCTCATCGTCTCCGACCATCATTGCCGCTCCGGCCAGGGCTGTCTTGCCTTGCTTTCCAAGTGCATCATAGGTCAGCCTATTAGGGGGTTGAATTCTCCTCTTCCCCCTTCCTTCCTCCTCAGCTGCAGGGACTTGAAGGCCTTGGCGTTGCTGCGGTGTGGCTCGATTCCGTGGAGCACTCGTGGTACGGGAAGGGAGTGACGGTGCACGTTCGCTCACTTGCTGCACCTCCTCCTCTTCTTCCTCTGCATCAGTGGCCTCCTCTCCCCCATTCACAAGGGAGGATTGCCTCGTGGTTGTTTTGCCGCTGCTCAGCTCCAAAGGCAGCTCCACATGCTCCAAACCGGAACTCTTCACCTCCCCAAACCGCACGCCTATCTCCGCCTCATTCTCCGCCTTCCAATCCTTGTACATGAAGTTCTCCATGAACTTGCAGTCCCTGCTCACCAAGAACTTCTTGGTGAATGGGTCCCAAAGAAGCCATCCCTTGCTGTTTTGAGCCATGCCCAAGTGCACGGCCCACACCGCCTTGGCACCAAGCTTGTTGTGCCGAAGATGCTTAGGCACAAGCGCCATGCACATGCACCCGAACACCCGAAGCATATCCACCTTTGGCTTCCTTCCTAGCCACTCCACATAGGGCACCCATTTGTCTGCTCCCACATGATTCAAGGCTCTGTTCTTGGCCACACATGCGCTCCGCACCGCATCAGGCCAGAAATAGTCGGGTAGCCCGGCTTCAATGAGCAACCCGCGTGCAGCCTCCGTGATTGTGCGGTTCGCTCGCTCAGCGATGCCGTTCATTGCAGGGGAGTATGGCATGGTGAGGGAGTGCCGAATACCATTCTTCTTCAGCCACAACCCAAACTCCTTGTTCAGGAACTCTCCCCCTCGATCGGTGCGGATTGACTTGACTAGACGGTCTTGTTGCCGCTCCACCATCGGGAACCAATCCGCCTTCAACGTTTCAGCCACGTTGCTCTTCTTGGCCAGCACGTACACCCAAGTCATACGGGTGTAGACGTCCACAATAGTGAGGAAGTACTCAGCTCCAGCAGCTCCAAGCTTCAGGGGGCCCACCACGTCCATCACCACCTCATCAAGTGGTGCCTTAGCCGTTGCCTCCGAACTAGAGAATGGGAAACGGGTGAACTTGGCTTGCATGCACGTCGGGCAGCCAAGTACCTCATCGGGCTCCCCCTTCACACGTATGCTGCTGCAAGATGGGCAGGGCCACATGCCCCATGCGCCGATGCAAGGTGAGCCAATCACACTCCCCCGTAGCCGAAGTTGGATTCGAAAATGCCGCGCTCGCAATAGCGCCCCACATACTCTCTCCGTAGTCCTCCTCCGCTGTTGCCTCGGGGTTCTCCTCACCCTTTTGCTGCTCCTTGGTTGCTGCACCACTCTCCTTAGGTTCACTAAACTTGCTGGTCCCTCCAAGATTGCACTTCTTGGACTCCTTCTCCTTAGCGCGACCGTCCGCGCAATCGCCGCTACCAACCGCTCCACCTTTAGTGCTGACGCTTGCTGCCACTTGCCTCTCCTTAGGCATTGGGACCACAGGGATCTGCCACATCTCGTTGTAGACATCTCCGTCCTCATGAAGGTCCCAAAGAATCCGATCGCCAAGCCTTGCGGTGTAGGTCTTGGCTCCCTTCGAGTTAGTGTCCATGCCGGCCTTTGCCAACCGCCGCACGGAAATCAGGTTCGCAGCAAGGCTGGGCACCCAAAGCACGTTCTTGAGGCCCACCATCTTCCCATCAGCACCCTTGAACATGGCCTTCCCCATGCCTTTTACCTCTGCTCGCTGCCCCAAAGCCGATGTGACATGCTTCACCGATGACGGTTCAAGTTCGGTGAGCAAGTCCGGGCGAGGTGTCATGCTATAGGTAGCGCCACTGTCGATCACCCAATAGTCCAGGGGGTGTAGGGTCACCTTCCCTACAGCTGCTGGCTCCTCAAGGTCTTCATCCTTCTCTGGACCAGCCGGTACTTGCGTCGACACGAAGTAGAATAGGCCCGGGTACCGATCGCCGCTCGGGTCCTTGTCGTTATCTTCGCTCTTCACATTTGCAGCACCGCCACGGCCTCCACGGCCTCTTCCTCTCCCTCCTCCTGCTCCTTTACCCTCTTGGCCTTGAGCAGGGGTCCATCCTTCAGGGAGTTTGAAGCAATCGCGCCACATATGTCCGCTCTTGCCGCAATAATGACATTCGCCGTCGAATCGACCGCGACCGCGTCCGTAGCTCTTGTCGTCGCTGCCGTAACTGCCGTTCCCGCGGCCTCCACTGAAGTTGCCGCCACCAGATCTTCCTCCCCCTCGTCCTCTGCCTCTTCCTCGGCCATATCCACGGCCGACGCTAGCTGCCCCAGCGCCATCCGCACTCGCCAACTCACGGCGGCGGAAGTCCTCTTGTAGGATCGCGCGCTTCACGCCTTCAAGCGAGAGACGGGGCAGGTCACGGTTCAAATTGATGATGAGCGAGGACCACGACTCGGTGAGTAAGGCCAGCAACTTGGTCTTCTTCTGGAGCTCACTGTAGTTCTAATCAGCTCCCTCTAGCCGCGTTAACAAGTCGAAGAATCTCTGCACCCCGTCTTCCACGGGTTCATCTTCCTCAATTCGTGGCGTCGCCATTTGCCGTTCCAACACCACAGCTACCGCCGCTGTTGCAGGAGCGTGTACACCCTTGAGAGCAGCCCATGCCTTTTGTCCTTTCTCTGGTTCATGCTGGAAAGGCTTGATGTGACGGATCTGGTTGCTCCCCGACGCTTGCCCAAGTAGAAGATAGCCTTGTGCGCTCTTCCGCACCCACAGGCTCTTCTCCGGGTCGTTCTCGGGACGCTTCTCCGTTCCTTCCATCACCTCCAGCAGGTCATAATGGTCGAACACGTTCTCCATTCTGAAGGACCGTTCAGCAAAGTTGTCGCCGTTGAACTTGTCAAGTCCGAACGCTCTTGGTTCATCCCTAGAAGGTCCAAGAGTAGGTTGCACGGGCGCCACGGCTGAATCACGGGCTTGGCCTTGTGCTTGGGCATCTCCATTGCCACCAGCACCTCTGCCACCCCTTTCTCCAGGTCCAGTCATAGTCGTAGCTGCTCCAAGGGGCTCTGATACCACTTGTTATAGTCACAGTAGGCTTCAATGTGCCTAAAACTAAGGATAGAGTGCACAGTCGGATTTCTGCACAGCGGCTTTAAACGTTCATAGCGATCTGCTCACAACTCCAAATGACTTCATTCAACTTGGATCTGGAGCTCCCTAACGTCGCCTACAATAAGCAATTTAGATCGCACGATATCATCAAGATTTGACGACACAGCGACGGTTTGAACGAACAGCACTATGGCAGCAACATAGTCTTAGAACGCAACTTAGGAAGAGTTAGCAAGAGTTACGAGTTGGGAATGACTCCCAGCTCCTACAAACCCCAAGAGCCGAGGTACAGTGATGTGGAACAGTGCCACACTGTCCCCAACCACGAAGGATCTCGAAACTACCCTTCACTAGGGTCTACACCAACTGAAATGTTACACTACACGTTGTAATGTAACGAATCTTGATATCTTGAGGTGTACCCTTTTCGCGGACTTCGCGAACACTTGAATGTTGACACCAGGGCTCGGGTTCTTCATCACAAACTCATCCTTGAGTTCTTGATGGGTCTGCTGCACACACCTGCGACACGCCGAACGTTCGACAAGCGACAAAATAGAAACTGCGCACGACAAAATAGAAACCGCGCGGGACACACAAAATGACCGCGTTACACGCGACTAGCGATAACTCGCTATTGACTTGACACACACTCAATATCATGACCCATCATACACACACTATTGTAAGCATGAAATATATATTATCCCATGCCCTCATACCATTCCATGCACACACGCATGCACGCACACGGACAACAAGCCGAGTGCAAACCGTAGGTTGCACCAACAATTCTCCCGCTTTCCATCACCCCGCTCCATTGTCCCGCTTTCCACTACCCCGCCCAATTCTCCCTCTTTCCATCACCCCTCCCCATTCTCCCTCTTTCCATCACCCGGCCCCATTCTCCCGCTTTCCATCACCCCGCCCCATTCTCCCTCTTTCCATCACCCCGCCCCATTCTCCCGCTTTCTATCACCCCGCCCCATTTTCCCGCTTTCCATCACCCCTTTCCATTCTCCTGCTTTCCATCACCCCGCCCCATTCTCCCGCTTTCCATCATCCCGCCCCATTCTCCCTCTTTCCATCACCCCGCCCCATTCTCCCGCTTTCCATCACCCCGCCCCATTCTTCCGCTTTCCATCATCCCGCCCCATTCTCCCGCTTTCCATCACCCCGCCCCATTCTCCCGCTTTGCATCACCCCGCCCCATTCTCCCGCTTTCCATCACCCCACCCCATTCTTCCGCTTTCCATCACCCCTCCCCATTCTCCCTCTTTCCATCACCCCGCCCCATTCTCCTGCTTTCCATCACCCCGCCCAATTCTCCCGCTTTCCATCACCCCGCCCCATTCTCCCTCTTTCCATCACCCCGCCCCATTCTCCCGCTTTCCATCTCCCCACCCCATTCTCCTGCTTTCCATCACCCCGTCCCATTCTCCCGCCTCTTTCCATCACCCCGCCCCATTCTCCCGCTTTCCATCACCGCGCCCCATTCTCCCGCTTTCCATCACCCCGCCCCCATTCTCCCGCTTCCCATCACCCTGCCCCGTTCTCCCACTTTCCATCACCCCGCCCCATTCTCCCGCTTTCCATCACCGCGCCCCATTCTCCTGCTTTCCATCACCCCGCCCCATTCTCCCTCTTTCCATCACCCCGCCCCATTCTCCCTCTTTCCATCACCCTGCCCCATTCTCCCGCTTTCCATCACCCCGCCCCATTCTCCCGCTTTCCATCACCCCGCCCCATTCTCCCGCTTTCCATCACCCCGCCCCATTCTCCCGGTTTCCATCACCCCGCCCCATTCTCCCGGTTTCCATCACCCTGCCCCATTCTCTCGCTTTCCATCACTCTGCCCCATTCTACCTCTTTCTATCACCCCACCCCATTTTCCCTCTTTCCATGACCCCGCCCCATTCTCCCGATTTCCATCACCCCACCCCATTCTCTCACCTCTTTCCATCACCCCGCCCCATTCTCCCGCTTTCCATCACTCCGCCCCATTCTCCCGCTTTCCATCACCCCGCCCCATTCTCCCGCTTTCCATCACCCCGCCCCATTCTCCAACTTTCCATCACCCCGCCCCATTCTCCCGCTTTCCATCAACCCGACCCATTCTCCCGCTTTCCATCACCCCGCCCCATTCTCCCTCTTTCGATCACCCGCCCCATTCTCCCGCTTTCCTTCACCCCGCCCCATTCTTTTGCCTCTTTCCATCACCCCGCCCCATTCTCCCGCTTTCCATCACCCCGCCCCATTCTCCCGCTTTCCATCACCCCGCCCCATTCTCCAGCTTTCCATCACCCCGCCCCATTCTCCCTCTTTCCATCACCCTTCCCCATTCTCCCTCTATCCATCACCCCACCCAATTCTGCCGCTTTCCATCACCCCGTCCCATTCTCCCGCTTTCCATCACCTTGCCCCATTCTTTTGCGTTCCATCTCCCCACCCCATCCTCCCCTCTTTCCATCATCCCGCCCCATTCTCCCGATTTCTATCACCCCGCCCCATTCTCCCTCTTTCCATCACCCCGCCCCATTCTCCCACTTTCCATCACCCCGCCCCATTCTCCCTCTTTCAATCATCCCGCCCCATTCTCTCGCTTTCCATCACCCCGCCCCGTTCTCCCGCTTTCCATCACCCCGCCACCTTTTCCCGCTTTCCATCACCCCGCCCCATTCTCCTGCTTTCCATCACCCCGCCCCATTCTCCCTCATTCCATCACCCCGCCCCATTCTCTCGCTTTCCATCACCCCGCCCCATTCTCCCGCTTTTCATCACCCCGCCCCATTCTCCCGCTTTCCATCACCCCGTCCCATTCTCCCTCTTTCCATCACCCCGCTCCATTCTCCCGCTTTCCATCACCCCGCCCTATTCTCCCTCTTTCCATCACCCCTCCCTATTCTCCCTCTTTCCATCACCCCGCCCTATTCTCCCGCTTTCCATCACCCCGCCCCATTCTCCCGCTTTCCATCACCCCGCCCCATTCTCCCGCTTTCCATCACCCCGCCCCATTCTCCCACTTTGCATCACTTCGCCCAATTCTCCCGCTTTCCATCACCCCGCCCCATTCTCCCGCTTTCCATCACCCCTCCCCATTCTCCCTCTTTCCATCACCCCGCCCCATTCTCCTGCTTCCCATCACCCCGCCCCATTCTCCCGCTTTCAATCACCCCGCCCCATTCTCCCTCTTTCCATCACCCCGCCCCATTCTCCCGCTTTCCATCTCCCCACCCCATTCTCCTGCTTTCCATCACCCCGTCCCATTCTCCCGCCTCTTTCCATCACCCCGCCCCATTCTCCCGCTTTCCATCACCGCGCCCCATTCTCCCGCTTTCCATCACCCCGCCCCCATTCTCCCGCTTCCCATCACCCCGCCCCGTTCTCCCACTTTCCATCACCCCGCCCCATTCTCTCGCCTCTTTCCATCACCCCGCCCCATTCTCCCGCTTTCCATCACTCCGCCCCATTCTCCCGCTTTCCATCACCCCGCCCCATTCTCCCGCTTTCCATCACCCCGCCCCATTCTCCAACTTTCCATCACCCCGCCCCATTCTCCCGCTTTCCATCAACCCGACCCATTCTCCCGCTTTCCATCACCCCGCCCCATTCTCCCTCTTTCGATCACCCGCCCCATTCTCCCGCTTTCCTTCACCCCGCCCCATTCTTTCGCCTCTTTCCATCACCCCGCCCCATTCTCCCGCTTTCCATCACCCCGCCCCATTCTCCCGCTTTCCATCACCCCGCCCCATTCTCCCTCCTTCCATCACCCCGCCCCATTCTCCCGCTTTCCATCACCCCGCCCCATTCTCCCTCCTTCCATCACCCTGCCCAATTCTCCATCCTCCCATCACCCTGCCCCATTCTCCCGCTTTCCATCACCCGCCCCATTCTCCCTCTTTCTATCACCCCGCCCAATTCTCCCGCTTTCCATCACCCCGCCCCATTCCCCTGCTTTCCATCACCCCGCCCCATTCTCCCGCTTTCCATCACCCCGCCCCGTTCTCACGCTTTCGCACACCCCGCCCAATTCTCCCGCTTTCCATCACCCCGCCCCATTCTCCTGCTTTCCATCACCCCGCCCCATTCTCCCTCTTTCCATCACCCCGCCCCATTCTCCCTCCTTCCATCACCCCGCCCAATTCTCCGCTTCCCATAACCCCAGCCCCATCTCCCCCTTTCCATCACCCCGCCACATTCTCCCACTTTCCATCACCCTGCCCCATTCTCCCTCCTTCCATCACCCCGCCCCATTCTCCCTCCTTCCATCACCCCGCCCCATTCTCCCGCTTTCCATCTCCCCGCCCCATTCTCCCACTTTGCATCACTTCGCCCAATTCTCCCGCTTTCCATCACCCCGCCCCATTCTCCCGCTTTCCATCACCCCTCCCCATTCTCCCTCTTTCCATCACCCCGCCCCATTCTCCTGCTTCCCATCACCCCGCCCCATTCTCCCGCTTTCCATCACCCCGCCCCATTCTCCCTCTTTCCATCACCCCGCCCCATTCTCCCGCTTTCCATCTCCCCACCCCATTCTCCTGCTTTCCATCACCCCGTCCCATTCTCTCGCCTCTTTCCATCACCCCGCCCCATTCTCCCGCTTTCCATCACCGCGCCCCATTCTCCCGCTTTCCATCACCCCGCCCCCATTCTCCCGCTTCCCATCACCCCGCCCCGTTCTCCCACTTTCCATCACCCCGCCCCATTCTCTCGCCTCTTTCCATCACCCCGCCCCATTCTCCCGCTTTCCATCACTCCGCCCCATTCTCCCGCTTTCCATCACCCCGCCCCATTCTCCCGCTTTCCATCACCCCGCCCCATTCTCCAACTTTCCATCACCCCGCCCCATTCTCCCGCTTTCCATCAACCCGACCCATTCTCCCGCTTTCCATCACCCCGCCCCATTCTCCCTCTTTCGATCACCCGCCCCATTCTCCCGCTTTCCTTCACCCTGCCCCATTCTTTCGCCTCTTTCCATCACCCCGCCCCATTCTCCCGCTTTCCATCACCCCGCCCCATTCTCCCGCTTTCCATCACCCCGCCCCATTCTCCCTCCTTCCATCACCCCGCCCCATTCTCCCGCTTTCCATCACCCCGCCCCATTCTCCCTCCTTCCATCACCCTGCCCAATTCTCCATCCTCCCATCACCCTGCCCCATTCTCCCGCTTTCCATCACCCGCCCCATTCTCCCTCTTTCTATCACCCCGCCCAATTCTCCCGCTTTCCATCACCCCGCCCCATTCCCCTGCTTTCCATCACCCCGCCCCATTCTCCCGCTTTCCATCACCCCGCCCCGTTCTCACGCTTTCGCACACCCCGCCCAATTCTCCCGCTTTCCATCACCCCGCCCCATTCTCCTGCTTTCCATCACCCCGCCCCATTCTCCCTCTTTCCATCACCCCGCCCCATTCTCCCTCCTTCCATCACCCCGCCCAATTCTCCGCTTCCCATAACCCCAGCCCCATCTCCCCCTTTCCATCACCCCGCCACATTCTCCCACTTTCCATCACCCTGCCCCATTCTCCCTCCTTCCATCACCCCGCCCCATTCTCCCTCCTTCCATCACCCCGCCCCATTCTCCCGCTTTCCATCTCCCCGCCCCATTCTCCCGCTTTTCATCACCCCGCCCCATTCTCCCGCTTTCCATCACCCCGTCCCATTCTCCCTCTTTCCATCACCCCGCTCCATTCTCCCGCTTTCCATCACCCCGCCCTATTCTCCCGCTTTCCATCACCCGCCCTATTCTCCCGCTTTCCATCACCCCGCCCCATTCTCCCTCCTTCCATCACCCCCCCCCCATTCTCCCGCTTTCCATCACCTCGCCCCATTCTCCCGCTTTCCATCACCCCGCCCCGTTTTCCCGCTTTCCATCACCCTGCCCTATTCTCCCGCTTTCCATCACCCCGCCCCATTCTCCCGCTTTCCATCACCCCGCCCAATTCTCCCGCTTTCCATCACCCCGCCCCATTCCCCTGCTTTCCATCACCCCGCCCCATTCTCCCGCTTTCCATCACCCCGCCCCGTTCTCACGCTTTCCATCACCCCGCCCAATTCTCCCACTTTCCATCAGCCCGCCCCATTCTCCTGCTTTCCATCACCCCGCCCCATTCTCCCTCTTTCCATCACCCTGCCCCATTCTCCCTCCTTCCATCACCCCGCCCAATTCTGCGCTTCCCATAACCCCAGCCCCATCTCCCGCTTTCCATCACCCCGCCACATTCTCCCACTTTCCATCACCCCGCCCCATTCTCCCTCCTTCCATCACCCCGCCCCATTCTCCCTCCTTCCATCACCCCGCCCCATTCTCCCGCTTTCCATCTCCCCGCCCCATTCTCCCGCTTTCCATCACCCTGCCCCATTCTCCCGCTTTCCATCACCCCGCCCCATTCTTCCGCTTCCCATCATCCCGCCCCATTCCCCCGCTTTCCATCACCCCTCCCCATTCTCCCACTTTCCATCACCCCGCCCCATTCTTCTGCTTTCCATCACCCCGCCCCATTCTCGCGCTTTCCATCACCCCACACCATTCACCCGCTTTCCATCACCCGCCCCATCTCCCGCTCTCCATCACCCCGCCCCATTCTCCCGCTCTCCATCAACCCGCCCCAATCTCCCGCTTTTCATCACCCCGCCCCATTCTCCCGCTTTCCAACACCCCTCTGTCAGAACATTATAGCTTACTTATTTGTGTAGGCTATAGTGGGGTATCCCATAGGGGGTACAACCCAGCTAGGGTTTCCTATTTGTACTCACTTCGTTCATAGTTCACACATTCTCTCGTTCACTTCTTCACATGGAATCAGAGCAGGTTCCCCTGTGGGAACTGTGCTTCGGGCCCACCACCTAGAACTTTTTTTTCTGCCCTGGCGCCCGCCCTAGTGCCCGCCCTAGCGCCCGCCCTAGCGCCCGCCCTTTCGAGCCGCCCGTTCGCGTCGCCCGTTAGCGCCGCCCGTTAGCGCCGCCCGTGCGGCTGCCCCTTCGCGCCGCCCTTTGCGCAGCCCGTAGCGCCGCCCGTGCGGCCGCCCGTTAGCGCCGCCGGTGCGGCCGCCCGTAGCGCCCCCCGTGAGCCGCCGCCCGTAGCGCCGCCCGTGAGCCGCCGCCTGTCGCCACCCTTTAGCGCCGCCCGTGAGCGCCGCCCGTGACGCAGCCGCCCGTGAACCGCCGCCCGTGACGCCGCCGCCTGTGACGCCGCCGCCCGTCCCGTCGCCCCCCCCCCCCCCGTGACGCCGCCGCCCGTCCTGCCGCCCGCCCGTCACGCCGCCCGCCCGTGAGCCGGCGCTGCCCGCGAACCGCCCACCCGTGGGCCTTCAGCCCGCCCGTGAGCTGCCGACGCCGCCCGTGAGCAGCCGACGCCGCCGCCGCCACCCGTGAGCCGCCGACGCCGCCGACGCCGCCCGTGAGCCGCCGATGCCGCTGCCGCTGCCGTCGCCCGTGAGCCGCCGACGCCGCCGCCGCCGCCCGTGAGCCGCCGTCGCCCGTGAGCCGCCGACGCCGCCGCCGCCGCCGCCCGTGAGCCGCCCTGGCCGCCCGCCCAGCCGCCCGTGAGCTCCCCGCGCGCCGTCCCAGCCGCCCGTGAGCCGCCACCGAGCCGCCCCAGCCGCCCGTGCCGCCGCCCGAGCCGCCTGAGCCGCCCGAGCCGCCCGGGCCGCCCGCGCCGCCCTAGCCACCCGAGCCGCCCGAGCCGCCCTAGTCGCCCGAGCCGCCCGTGCCGCCCGAGCCGCCCGAGCCGCCCGAGCTGCCCGAGCCGCCAGAGGAGCTGCTCTCCTGCTCCTGTCGGGCTACTGCTGCTCCTGGGCTGTGTACCTGCGCCGCTGACCTACCCGACTCTTCCTGCCCGGTGAGACTGTCAGCTGCTGTCATGGCCACCCCCAATGTCCTAGCTTTTGACGCTGAGGGTAGAGCCATTGACTTTGCAGTCTGGATTGAGGACCTGCAGCTGTACTTACTGTGTGATGCGGTCGATGAGGTCTCTCTCTTTGACTTTCTCTCTGGCGCTGTCCCTGCCCCTCCTCCTGATGCTGATTCCGCCGTTCGCTCCAAGTGGGCGACCCGCGATGCTGCTGCACGTCTTGCTGTGCGTCGCCACCTCCCTTCCTCCGAGCGTGCCCACTTTAGTCAGTGCAAGACCGCTCAGGCCTTGTACGACGCTGTAGTTGCACGCTACTCCTCCCCTTCCTCCGCTACGCTGAGCCGCCTCATGCTACCTTTCCTCTTCCCTGACCTCGCTGCCTTTCCCACTGTCGCTGACCTCATTACCCACCTCCGCGCTAGTGACGCTCGCTACCGCGCTGCCCTTCCTGCTGAGTTCCGCGCCGCCAACCCTCCTCCCATGTACATCACTCTCTACTTTCTTGTCACCCGTCTCCCTGAGTCCCTCCGTGTCGTTAGGGACCAGTTTCTCTCTGTCTGTCCCACCACCCTCACTGTCGACCTCCTTGAGGAGTCCCTGCTAGCGGCTGAGAAGAGCATAGTCGCTGTAGGGGCCTCTCGGGGTGACCCTCGCACCCCCATCTTTGAGGGGTGTTCTCCTTCCCCCCTGCTGCCCTCTGTCGCCTCTGCCGCTGCGGCCGACCTCACTGGTTTTGAGTCGGTCGGTGCGGCGTCTGCCCCCAGTGGTAGACGCCGCTCTGGCAAGGGCAAGGGGGGCAAGGGAGCGGGTGGAGCTAGAGGGGGCAGTGGCGGAGGAGGTGGGGGTGGCGGGGGGAGTGGGGGTGGCGGTGGAGGTGGTGGCGGGAGTGGAGGTACTGGTGGAGGCGGTGGAGGCGGAGGTGGCGGCGGGGGCGGTAGCGGAGGAGGCGGGGGCGAGGGTACCAGTGGGGGCGGTGGCGGTGGAGACGTAGGCGGTGGTGGAGGCGGGAGTGGCGGTGGCGGCGGGGGTCGGAGTGTCTCGTCCCAGCGCAGCAGCTCTGGGGGTGGTCAGCGCCAGCAGCAACAGCAGCAGCAGCAGCAGCCGCAGCAACGCTCTCGCACCGTCCCCGCCCCTCAGCAGCTCCGTGAGTGGTACTTGCAGCGTCAGCGTGGTGGTGCGTTTGGTCCCTGCCCCTACGTTCTTCGCACCGGCGACCGTGCGGGGGAGAGGTGTGGAGGCACCCACACGGCCCGCCGCTGCTTTGGCCGCCTGACCGACGCTTGGCGTCAGCAGTTTCCGGAGGCCGCTGAGATCCCCCGCTGGGGGGAGCTGTCTAGGGCTGGTGTAGCCATTTATGATCTTGACTTTGATGCTATTCTTTCTGCTATGTATGTTGTGACTGGTAGTGATGAGGATGACTGTTACCGGTGTTTCCCGCCCGACCCGGGCATTGGTACTGCTGCGTCAGGTACTAGTGAGGCTGCTGCTCTAGGTGCCAGTGCGTCTGAGCTCTCAGGTACTGGTGAGTCTGCCCTCTCAGTTACTGTGTCGGCTTCGGCCTCTCACACCTTCACACTTGACTCTGGAGCGTCTCGCTCCTTCTTTCGGGACCGCACTACTCTCACGCCGCTGAGTCGGCCGGTTGCGGTGTCCCTGGCTGACCCCTCTGGGGGGCCTGTCCTGTCTCGCTTCTCCACGGTACTTCCGTGTCCGGCGGCCCCCTCTGGCACCCTGTCTGGTCTCTACCTCCCCTCGTTCTCGACGAACCTGGTGAGTGGTGCTGACCTACAGGATGCGGGTGTCCACCAGTTCACTCCTGCTCGTCAGCGGGTGACCCACTGCACGGAGGCTAGCACGGGACGTCACCTGGCTACGTTTACACGTCGGCCAGGGTCGAGCCTGTACACACTGACCACTGCTTCTCCTCCAGGTACTGAGTCTGGTACGGTCCCTTCGTCTGGTCAGGTGTTTGCAGCAGCGTCCAGGTCTGGTCCTGAGTCTTCCCCCTGTTCGTGTCGTCGTCTGTCTCACGAGACCCTCCTCTGGCACCACCGCCTTGGCCACCCCTCTCTGCTTCGGCTCAGAGGCATGGCCTCCCGTCTTCTTGTGTCTGGTCTCCCCCGGTCCCTACCTCCCCTTCCTCAGGGCCCTGGCCCTGCCTGTGTCCCCTATGTCGAGGGGCGCCAGCGTGCTGCCCCTCACTCCTCCCAGTTTCCTCCGACAGAGGCCCCGCTGCAGACACTTCACATGGACGTGTGGGGGCCGGCCCGCGTCCTTGGACAGGGTCACGAGCGCTACTTCCTGCTAGTTGTTGACGACTACTCGCGTTACACCACAGTCTTCCCCTTGCGCAGCAAGGGTGAGGTTACTGAGGTGCTGATCGACTGGATCCGCGCAGCTCGTCTTCAGCTCAGGCAGAGCTTTGGCTCGGACTTTCCTGTGTTGCGTCTGCACTCTGACAGAGGCGGAGAGTTCTCCTCTGGCCTTCTTCGTGCCTACTGTCGAGCGCGAGGCATCCGCCAGTCCTTCACGCTTCCGGACTCCCCACAGCAAAATGGGATTGGTGAGCGCCGCATTGGCATGGTCATGGACGTCGCCCGTACGTCCATGATGCATGCGGCTGCCCCCCATTTTCTGTGGCCGTTTGCGGTCAGGTACGCAGCGCATCAGATCAACCTCCACCCCAGGGTCTCCAGGCCGGAGACCTCCCCAGCCCTGCTGTGGACGGGGAAGGTTGGCGATGCGTTGGCGTTCCGGGTCTGGGGATCTCGGGCGTTTGTCCGCGACTTGTCTGCGGACAAGCTGTCCCCTCGCGCTGCTCCCTGCGTCTTCCTGGGGTTCCCCCCCGACGCCCCTGGGTGGCAGTTCTACCACCCCACCTCTCGACGTGTTCTGTCCTCCCAGGACGTCACGTTTGACGAGTCGGTACCCTACTACCGCCTCTTCCCCTACCGCACTCCGTCCCTCCCCCCGCCCCCGCTTTTCCTGGTACCAGGTCCCCCCCCGGTAGACCCCCTCCCCCCTCAGGGTCCTGCCCCATCAGGTGTGTCCCAGGTAGACGCGGTCGAGCCTGTCGAGGTCACTGGTGACTCTGGTGCTGCTGCGGGAGCTGAGCCTGGGGGTGCGGAGTCTGGGGGTGCTGAGCCTGGGGGTGCGGAGTCTGGGGGTGCGGAGTCTGGGGGTGCTGAGTCTGGGGGTGCTGAGCCTGGGGGTGCTGAGCGTGGGGGTGCTGAGCCTGGAGGTGCTGTGCCTGGGGGTGCTGTGCCTGGGACTGCTGTGCCTGGGAGTGCTGAGCCTGGGGGTGCTTCGTCTCGCCGGGAGCCACTCTCCCCACAGGAGCTGCGTGAGTGGTTTGCCAGGCGCTGGAGGCGTGCTGCTAGTGCTGGTGGTTCTTCGGCTGCTGAGGGCACTGCTGCCGCGCGTCCCGGCGGTGCTCGTCCTGTGGGTGCTGGAGCTGTTGGGTCTGCGAGTTCTCTTGGAGCTGGTGCTGCTGAGGGTGTTGGCGCTGAGCCTGCTGCTGGCGGTCCGACTGACAGTGCTCCTGGTGCTGCTGCTGGAGGTTCTGGAGCTTCTGGTGGTGCTGCTGGAGGTGCTACTGGAGTGGGTGCTCCTGCCGAGGGTGCTGGTGCTGTTCCTGCTGTTTCTGGAGTCGCCGCGCGGCCCCGACCGTACTTCGTTCCGCTCCTGCAGCAGGTTCTTGGTCTTCCACTTTCTCCTCCTCCCTTAGAGGGTCCGCAGCCTGTCCGGTCACAGCCACAGCTACAGCCTGCCTCCCCTTTGCCTGCTCCTTCTCCCTACGCTGGTCCGACTGGAGGTCTTACTGAGCGTCGTGAGCCTGCGTCTCGTCCTGCGTCGCCTGTCCGTCCAGAGCGCGCTAGTGGTCGCGGTTCGCGTCAGCGTCCTCCTCCTGTCCCTGGCACGCACCGGATGTCTCTGCGTCCGTCCACTGCTCCTCTGCGTGCCCCTTTGCCTTCTCCTCCTGCTTCCTCTCTTCCTGCTCTTGCCGACCCGGAGTCGGACTCTCTTCGTGCTGCCAGTCCTACTGTCACGCGTCTCCTTGCTACTGCTGTCACTGACCCTTCCTTCGAGTCGTCTGCTGCGTCTGCCCTTGTCACTGAGCTTGTCGACTTTGCTGCGCGCTGTCGTCTAGACTACGCTGCCAGTCTTGTCGCTGAGTCTGAGTCTGCCTGTCCTCCGTCCGTCGGGGGTGAGTGTGCCCTCGGCACGGACGTCCTTGAGGACAGGCAGGAGGAGTTCCAGTGTCTGGCCGCCGCTTCACCCCATCTCGCGTCTGTACTGCTAGCCCCTGAGGGAGACCCGGATGCACCAGACATCCCGACTCCGCGCTCTTACGCGGAGGCGATAGAGGGTCCCTACTCCTCTCAGTGGCAAGCAGCTATGGACGCAGAGATGGCTTCCTGGAAGTCCACAGGCACCTACGTCGACGCTGTCCCCCCTCCTGGGGCGAACATCGTCAGTGGCATGTGGATTTTCAGGGTGAAGCGGCCGCCGGGTTCTCCGCCTGTCTTCAAGGCGCGTTACGTGGCTCGTGGCTTCAGTCAGCGGCAGGGGGTTGACTACTTTCAGACCTTCTCCCCCACCCCGAAGATGACCACTCTTCGGGTTCTGCTGCACGTTGCTGCTCACCGTGACTACGAGCTGCACTCTCTCGACTTCAGCACAGCTTTCTTGCAGGGCAGTCTGCACGAGGAGATCTGGCTGCGCCGCCCACCTGGCTTCACTGGGTCTTTCCCTCCTGGTACCCAGTGGAGTCTCCGGCGTCCAGTCTACGGTCTCCGCCAGGCGCCACGTGAGTGGCACGACACACTGAGGACTACGCTCGCGGCACTTGGGTTTGCTCCGTCTACTGCCGACCCGTCGCTGTTTCTGCGCACCGACACCTCTCTGCCGCCGTTCTACATCCTCGTGTACGTCGACGACTTGGTCTTTGCCACAGCTGACACTGCTGGACTCGCCTACGTGAAGTCCGAGCTGCAGAAGAGACACACGTGCACTGACCTGGGTGAACTGCGCAGCTACCTTGGCTTGCAGATCACCCGGGACAGAGCACGCCGCACCATTACCCTGACTCAGTCACACATGGTGCAGCAGGTCCTTCAGCGCTTTGGCTTCACGTACTCCTCGCCTCAGGCCACTCCTCTGCCTACTCGCCACTCGCTCTCAGCTCTGCCTTCGGATGAGTCCGTAGAGTCGAGTGGCCCGTATGCAGAGCTTGTTGGCTGCCTCATGTACCTGATGACCTGCACTCGACCTGACCTTGCATACCCTCTTAGCATTCTCGCACGCTATGTTGCTCCTGGGAGACACCGACCAGAGCACATGGCTGCAGCGAAGAGGGTGTTGCGCTACTTGTGCAGTACGTCGGGCATGGGGCTAGTGCTTGGAGGGCGCAGTCCTGTGGTCCTCACTGGGCACGCAGACGCTTCTTGGGCTGACGACCAGGCTACGCAGCGGTCGTCACAGGGTTACACCTTCAGCCTTGGTTCCGGCTCTGTTTCGTGGCGGGCTACCCGCTCGTCTTCTGTTCTCGGCTCCAGTTGTGAGGCTGAGATCTACGCTGGGGCTATGGCTGCACAGGAGTTACGCTGGCTCACCTACCTGCTGACCGACCTTGGAGAGCAGCCTCGTTCTCCTCCAGTCCTGTACGTAGACAACAAGGCCATGCTGGCCTTGTGTCGAGAGCAGAGACTGGAGCACAGGACAAAGCACATTGCTCTCCGCTACTTTCTTGCTCGTGAGCTACAGCAGCGTGGACAGTTGCGACTTGCGTACGTGGCCTCTGAGGCCAACACTGCTGATGTGTTCACCAAGGCACTTGCGCCTTGTGATCATCAGCGTTGCTGCACGCAGCTGGGTCTTGTGTCTGTCTTGCCTCACTTGCTCACTTCTTGACCTTCCTTGTACCGTCACATATATATAGTCTTGCTCTTGCTTGCTTGACTCTTGTATATCTCTATATATATGATCTTGCAGGTGAACTGGCCTTGTGGCCCTTGAACTTGTGCTCGGAATGTGTGGTGACTTTGTGATCCACCCTGAGCTTTGCTTTGCTTTGCTTGACTGGTCTTGTGACCCCTTGTTCTCCCCCACTTTGCCTATGGGGGTGTGTCAGAACATTATAGCTTACATATTTGTGTAGGCTATAGTGGGGTATCCCATAGGGGGTACAACCCAGCTACGGTTTCCTATTTGTACTCACTTCGTTCATAGTTCACACATTCTCTCGTTCACTTCTTCACACCCTCCCCATTCTCCCGCTTTCCATCACCCCGCCCTATTCTCCCGCTTTCCATCACCCCGCCCTATTCTCCCGCTTTCCATCACCCCGCCCCATTCTCCCTCCTTCCATCACCCCCCCCCATTCTCCCGCTTTCCATCACCTCGCCCCATTCTCCCGCTTTCCATCACCCCGCCCCGTTTTCCCTCTTTCCATCACCCCGCCCAATTCTCCCGCTTTCCATCACCCCGCCCCATTCTCCCGCTTTCCATCACCCCGCCCAATTCTCCCGCTTTCCATCACCCCGCCCCATTCCCCTGCTTTCCATCACCCCGCCCCATTCTCCCGCTTTCCATCACCCCGCCCCGTTCTCACGCTTTCCATCACCCCGCCCAATTCTCCAGCTTTCCATCAGCCCGCCCCATTCTCCTGCTTTCCATCACCCTGCCCCATTCTCCCTCCTTCCATCACCCCGCCCAATTCTGCGCTTCCCATAACCCCAGCCTCATCTCCCGCTTTCCATCACCCCCGCCACATTCTCCCAATTTCCATCACCCCGCCCCATTCTCCCTCCTTCCATCACCCCGCCCCATTCTCCCTCCTTCCATCACCCCGCCCCATTCTCCCGCTTTCCATCTCCCCGCCCCATTCTCCCGCTTTCCATCACCCTGCCCCATTCTCCCGCTTTCCATCACCCCGCCCCATTCTTCCGCTTCCCATCATCCCGCCCCATTCCTCCGCTTTCATCACCCCTCCCCATTCTCCCACTTTCCATCACCCCGCCCCATTCTTCTGCTTTCCATCACCCCGCCCCGTTCTCGCGCTTTCCATCACCCCACACCATTCACCCGTTTTCCATCACCCGCCCCATCTCCCGCTTTCCATCACCCCGCCCCATTCTCCCGCTCTCCATCAACCCGCCCCATTCTCCCGCTTTTCATCACCCCGCCCCATTCTCCCGCTTTCCAACACCCCTCCCCATTCTCCCGCTTTCCATCACCCCGCCCCATTCTCCCGCTTTCCATCACCCCGCCCCATTGTCCCGCTTTCCATCACTCCGCCCCATTCTCTCGCTTTCCATCACCCCACCCCATTCTCCCGCTTTCCATCACCCCGGCCCATTCTCCCTCCTTCCATCACCCTGCCTCATTCTCCCTCCTTCCATCACCCCGCCCCATGCTCCCGCTTTCCATCACCCCGCCCCATTCTCCCGCTTTCCATCACCTTGCCCCATTCTCCCGCTTTCCATCATCCCGCCCCATTTTCCCGCTTTCCATCACCCCGCCCCGTTCTCCCGCTTTCCATCACCCTTCCCCAATCCCCCGCTTTCCATCACCCCGCCCCATTCTCCCTCCTTCCATCACCCCGCCCCATTCTCCCGCTTTCCATCACCCCGCCCCATTCTCCCGCTTTCCATCACCCCGCCCCATTTTCCCGCTTTCCATCACCCCGCCCCAATCTCCCGCTTTCCATCACCCTGCCCCAATCTTCCGCTTTCCATCACCCCGCCCCATTCTCCCTCTTCCATCACCCCGCCCCATTCTCCCGCTTTCCATCACCCCGCCCCATTCTCCCGGTTTCCATCACCCCGCCCCATTCTCCCGCTTTCCATCACCCCGCCCCATTCTCCCGCTTTCCATCACCCCGCCCCATTCTCCCGCTTTCCATCACCCCGCCCCATTCTCCAGCTTTCCATCACCCCGCCCCATTCTCCCTCCTTCCATCACCCCGCCCCATTCTCCCGCTTTCTATCACCCCGCCCCATTCTCCCTCCTTCCATCACCCCGCCCCATTCTCCCTCCTTCCATCACCCCGCCCCATTCTCCCGCTTTCCATCACCCCGCCCCATTCTCCCGCTTTCCATCACCCCGCCACATTCTCCCGCTTTCCATCACCCCGCCCCATTCTCCTTCCTTCCATCACCCCGCCCCATTCTCCCTCCTTCCATCACCCCGCCCCATCCTCCCGCTTTCCATCAGCCCGCCCCATTCTCCCGCTTTCAATCACCCCGCCCCATTCTCCCGCTTTCCATCACCCCGCCCCATTCTCCCGCTTTCCATCACCCTTCCCATTCTCCCGCTTTCCATCACCTCGCCCCTTCTCCCTCCTTCCACCACCCCGCCCCATTCTCCCTCCTTCCATCACCCTGCCCCATTCTCCCGTTTTCCATCAGCCCGCCCCAATTCTCCCGCTTTCCATCAACCCGCCCCTTTCTCCCGCTTTCCATCTCCCCGCCCCATTCTCCCGCTTTCCATCACCTAGCCCCATTCTCCCGCTTTCCATCACCCCGCCCCATCTTCGCGCTTTCCATCACCATGCCCCAATCTCCCGCTTTCCATCACCCTGCCCCAATCTTCCGCTTCCATCACCCCGCCCCATTCTCCCTCCTTCCATCACCGCCCCATTCTCCCGCTTTCCATCACCCCGCCCCATTCTCCCGCTTTCCATCACCCCGCCCCATTCTCCCGCTTTCCATCACCCCGCCCCATTCTCCCGCTTTCCATCACCCCGCCCCATTCTCCC